TAGCGCAGCGAAGGGCCGCGCGACTGACGAACGAAGCGACGCCCGCAATTTTATATTTTTCTCTCCGTCTCTTTCGTCTTTTCTCTATTCGGTTGTTTTATTTTTTCTCTCTCCGTCTCTTTCCTCTTTTCTCCTTCAACTCCCCTTTCCCCTTTTCCCAGTTTAGATTTTAGTTTGAATCTGGCCTTTCACTAGCAACAAGACTCGAGTCCCTGACTCCCCACGCAACACAGCCCTACAATTGCCGCCCGCACTTTGCCCAGACTGCGCGGTAGAGAACCCTTCTACTACACTTCCACTACACCACTGTTATAGACTACTAGATAGCTAATATTACCACTTTCGCGTGCCTCCGCTTTCCCCACGACAGAATAACCTGACCAAGGTGTCGAACCTGGAAATCACACATTATACATCTGCTAGTGTACGTCAGATCAGTAGTATCTTCACGACTATTCCTTGTTCTACTCGTGCCAGGACATTCGAAATGATCGAACAGAATGCCACAAATGATCCCCTACAACCGTAACTGTACTTAGGTGTTAGAGGTAAATCTGTTAATGCTAGGGAAGATGGCTGAACACGATGAGATCACGATTCACTGGTGAATGTAAGGTGACACACTACGGATTAATATGTCTGGAGTCCTCCATCTCTGATTATTCTCTAATGGCCCGATTGATCCTTAGGGAGTAGAATCCTCTTATGCCTTAGGAATCGGATGCTCCATAATGTAATGATTCCACTGTTCATTCTTCGCCTCTCGCTTGTTAGGTTATCCCATAGTGCTCGTTGCGGGTAGGAGGCTACGTTGGCAAATACACTCAGGCCAAATAAGACAGATCCGATGACCAGAATCTGCTTAACCTGCAGCCAAAAAGCCTTGGTCTCATTCCAGGGTTGCACATGGCTGAGCTGCCTCAGCCTTTCTGGTTTGACACAATGCTTGCCGCTTGCCTTGTTGGGGGTCGAAGCATCCAACTCAGCTAGGTCCCTCGATTCTCAGAAGTTAGCGGTACAGGTAATCAGTCGACTCCCACAAGCTGACCCCATGGCTGAGTTTATTGCCCCTGATTCTCCATGCAGAGTTACTCTGTTTACTCGACCCTCAAATCTCCCGACTCTCTATGACTCTTGACGATCCCAACTTCTGGTGTTGTATCGCCCTCTCTCCCATCATTTGCGAACCGGTGCACTATCGCTGACTCAAAGTCTCCCGTCAAACCACAGACTCGGCCAAGCACCGCCGCTGTTTCAGTTTGGCCTGCCTCAAACCTTGAACATCGCGCCCGAAGACGATCATCCTTCAAACGCAAACCAACCGGCAACGGCAGCGTAACGCATACTACATCAGTCGCGATACCGCGCCAGCGAGCTTTCAACTCGATTCTTCAAATTTTTCAGCTCCTCGACCTTGTGAAGCAACATGAACCCAGTCCCAATGTAGTCGCGTCCTTACTCTTAGGTCTTGCCCGTCACCCTTGCAGAAGCATACATTGTGGCGACGACTTTGGCTGTACGGCGGCGAATCCGAAGACGACTTTTGAAGAGAGTGGGGGATTACTTCTACGGTTGGCCCACCAAGCAATCACTCTCTTGGCCGCCGCCTGCCGAGTCCACTCTCCTCGCTTCCGTCAAAGACACCGCCCTCTTCAACCTCGTCCGCTTGTTTCTCTCCCTCAGGCGCCCCCGCAACCCACTCCTTTCACTACAACCGAACGTGCACAATAGCACCAACCCCTATTCGTTCTGGCCTCCCGTGAAAACCTAAGTTATCCTCCCCCTTCATGCTTCCGGCCGACGCGCTTGGCCAAGCCCTGGGCGCTTGCATACCGTTTACCGCAACCAGGCTCCGTACATGGGTACGGTCTGAGGTTCTTGTGGACGGTGTCGACGTGCACGGTTCGTGCATTGGCATCTCTGAACCGTTTACCGCAGCCAGGCTCCGTACAGGGGTACGGCTTGAGGTTCTTATGGACGGTGTTGACGTGGCGAACTAGGTGCTCAGCTGAGGATAGCACGATGTCGCAGTCGGGCTCTGTGCATGGGTGTCGTCGCCCCCAGAAACCGCCGTCAATCTCATCTTGCGCGGGGCCGATGTGATGTTGTACGGCTGGGAGAGGGGTGCTGGATGTCCGGCTGTGCTGGTCTCGATAATGGCGTATTAGGAGCCCGCCCTACCGTCTGGAATGTACCAGCAGTAGAGCACTCAGCGCACCGGAAATACTGGGGAGGGGCGCTGCCGTTAACCCAATGGCTGATGGGGATGAGAGGTACGTCGAATGCAGGTGTAATAGGTGCCTGCGGCGAAACCGGCGACTCGGGCCCTTTCCAGGGCCTGAGTCCGAGGTCGGGGTCGACACGCCAGAAAGGGTGGCACAGTGGTACTGCCGAGATCGCATCTCGGATGCCGTCCCAGGAGGAAACGGGGAAGTTGCGCATAGCCGTATTGGTGGCGTAGGTGTCGATAGTGACCGTACACTGGCAGTAACCGTACACAGGCATCGCTGCCGAGCTCGAGAGGGTTCGGAGGCATGATCGCGCGATGGGTGCTGCCAGGTGAACTTTCCGTGCTCCTTTGGAGCCAAACGCGATGATGCAATGCGAACTTCGACCAACTGATGGGCTAGAAGCTGTGGTACCCGGCATTGCAGTTTCAAGCCCTGAAATTTCTGAGAGTTAAATTGTTTGGCGAATTGGCGTCATCGTCGCCTTCTCGACACCTTCTCGATGGATCTCATCCGCGTTTCCGTCGTCGAACTGCTGCCTTGCTTGAAGTGCCTGCGCACGGCAATCAAGCATACCAATCCCCACGACACAGCGCCTGTGCAGGTTTCCTGTACCTTTTCGCGTGTCGCCTCGTTCAAGTGCGACCAGTGTGTCGATCGTCACAGCACGGGGTGCAATCCGGTAGGTCAAACTGACTGACGATTCTCAGGTTGCTGTCGGCATGACCGGTGACATGTTCGATCTCAAGATCTTGATCCGGTCGGCTCGGGCGTTTTGCGAGCTCGATAATGAGGAGGACGGCTTTGCCGATGACGAGGAGGAAGGGTATTGTTTCTATGCAGCGAGATGTCGCCAATTCGCCCCTCTTGCAATTACAGAATACTGTTACTGAATTAATTGGTGGTGGCATTTTGGGTGGCATTTTGGGTGCATGAACCAAAAGGTGGTCCCAGCTCTAGGTACCCACTTAGGTACAGCATAAAAGCCGCATTTGGCAAAGTGGAGCCTGGTCATTAACCCCTGATTTTTTAGGCATCTTTGGCGCTCCCCCGACCTACAGTTCTTCCTCCTCTGTAACCACACAACAACACCAAAATCACCCAACCTCAACTGTGAGAATACCACATGCTAAATCAGATACCGTAACTGCTGCATTCAAAAACAAAAAAGGTGCTAGTCCTACCGGGGATCGAACCCGGGCCGTCGCATACCCATGACCTTTGACGAGAGGTATAAGAGCGAAATCTTAACCGCTAGACCATAGGACTATCAGTGATTAGTTGCTGCGGTGTCAAACCCACCCTTCAAAGCGGGGAGTACGCTTCCCCCGATCAGGTGTGCCCTCCCAACTATCATCCAGTATCGCAACAATGGTTTGACTATTTAAAGCTAGCATATTTTGTTGACCGCTCAAGCTAAGTGCCTTTCCTGCAAGCAAGACTCGAGAGTTGTGTGTGGGGTGCAGTGAGTGAAGTGGGTGCCAGGGTTGTGTGTAGGTGCGGTGTGTATGTGGGTGCAGTAGATCTGGGAGAATGGGTCACTAGGGCAACGCCCAGAGGGTAAGAAAAGAAGACTGGATTGATAGTTGTGTATCTATGAACCCCGGGGGGGGTTTAAAATACCTGGTTGGTGGACCCAGTCAGTGACAACCAAGTCCCCCACCACCATGACAGCCGCCAAAAGAAACCAGGCAGTATACGGCCATAGTGGAGTGGCGTCTCCTTCGCAAGGGAAAGCAACGCAACATCAGCAATGATTCCCCCACCAGAATAAAGCCTCCCCTGACTCCCTGAGTATCACTTCTCCCGACAGTGGTTGATCCAGCAGACAACGCTCAACTTAACGAAATGAGGCCTGCGTCAGGGGAGCCAGTACGGCGGCACTTGGCTGGCCGATCGTCTCCTGTAACACCCTCAGGAAGAGGGGTGACCAGCTTGTTGAAATCCAGCTCTTCATATGTTCCATAGCGAGTGGTCAGGGTGGCCGCCAAGCCGTCAAGGAATTCCCTGTCGCCTGCGAAAAGGAGTCGGAAGATGCGAGGAATGGTGGGCCGAGAGGACTTGTCGAAGAGGCGAGGTTTCCTGGTGCGGCTGACAACAGGACATGGGTAAGATGTATGGGTACGAAGTGAACGAGGTAATCTCCCAAAGCGGTGCATGCCCAACGGCGGTAGACTGGGAATTGCGAGTCTGCAGGTTGCTACCGGATTGGAGGGGAAGCTGGTGGACAGGGACGCCGGAATCCTCGGGTCCTCTCAGTGCCCATACAGCAGATCCTGACCGGAACTTCGCTCTCGTATCGGTGATGCGCGCGAGGGTCGTCCGTTCTAGAGGATGCCCAGATCCAATCAGCCTGAGTTACACAGTAGTGGAGTGTGGGAGAAAAGAATGAACAGTGTTAACGCGACCGTCGCATACCCATGACCCTTGACGAGGGGTATAAGAGCGAAATCTTAACCGCTAGACCACAGGAGTATTCTCAGTGATTGGTTGCTGGGGTGTCAAACTCACCGTTAAAAAACGCTGCTACTGTTCCCCTAGTTATCTCACCTTTCATAGCCAAATAAAACAAGCACCACCAACGCTCACCCGACAACGCCGTGATAACGCTCACCCGACAACGCCGTGAGGAGCACCCCATATGCTTCTACTTAACACCAAGAACACCGAGAAGGAAACCAAATATTGGAGCCGGATTTCGAGGGCTGCAGATTAAAAAAAGAGGGGTTAGCAAGTGTCTCCCGGACAACAGTGGCGGATATATTTTTCGTACTCTGCAGAGGTGAATGACATTTCCCTTATGGGCTTAAACCTAGAAAACGCGCTCACTGCTAACCCGACCCCAGCTCTTAAAACCGCCTTACGTCCCGTTCTTCCTCCGGCCGCCACTCTTGCTCCGTGCAATGTGCATCTTCATCGACTTGCTCGTCTCGACCAAGCTCCTCTTGTTCTTGGCCCTCGCCTTGCCAATGGTCATCAAAAAGTTCTTCTTGCGCGCCTTCTCCTTGTTGGTGGTGCTCTTGCCCTCGGCCTCCTTCTTGGACTTGCGGATGGCCTGCGTCGACTTGTGCTCGTCGCGGCCGGGCTTGCCGTCGCGGGCGAGCGCGACCCGCTCCTCCTTGGTCGTCTTCTTGCCCAGCTGCGCGGGGAGCTCAATGTCGTCGGCCGTGACCCCGTCCTCGATGTGCCGGTCGATGAGCTCCTTCTTGCGCTTCGACGTGCGCCCGAGCGCCTTGTCGATCTTGGCCTCGCGCAGGAGCTCTTCGAGCTTGGCGAGATCCGCGGGCGTGAGGATCGACGTGGTCGCGAGCTTGGATATTCTGTTGAGTTCGGCTGCGGTGTCGACAAGTTCGGGGGCCTTGTCCGCGTCTTCTTCTCCTTTCCGTTGGCGCTTCTTGGCCGGTTCGTCCGACTCCGAGTCGCTGGGGACGTCGATCCAGCCGCCCGAGGAGTCGCTGTCGGTCGACGCAACCTCCCACTCATCCGAATGGAAGCCCTCGTCATCCTCGTCGTCGTCCTCTTTCTTGTCTCCGTCCCCATTCTCCAGGCCCTCTTCCTCCCGTTTCCGTCTCTTCTGCTCCTCTTTGTACTGCTCGAGCAACTCGATACCCTCGATGCCTCCCACCTCTTCCTCTCCAAACTTGCGCTGCTTGGTCTCCCCTGACCGCAGGCCCATAGTAGCCTGCTTTCCGCGGTACTTCCTTTGCAGCAATTCGGGGTAGACCTCGCGGTAGAGGGACTGCAAACCCTTTGATGCCATCACCACGCCCTTGTCCTTGCTCTTTTGATACATGACCAGGTCCTGCAGGAGGGTCTCGGTCATGCAGAGCGGCTGCCGAATTGCCACTTCACGGATGGCATTGATACCTGCGGCACACACCTCGGTCGCGGATGCTTCCGAGACGAACTCGTTGGCGATCTTGACGACTAGGGGTTCAAGGACATCTGGCGGCACTAGGTTATGCGTTGCCTGGGCTAGCGACGCAAGGAACGACGTGACGTTGAGTTGCTTTGGCGTCAGGTACCGGACGAACCACGAGTAGAGCGAGATGATGGTGAGCTTGTGCAGGCCAACAAGACGGGTCACCAACTGCAGGATGAGGAGCTTGTTTTCAAGGGAAAACCTGTTCTTTGTGTTCTGCAGGTGCTTCTGGAACAGCTTCTCGGCGAATCCCTGGGGGTCGTGGATGAGGTGTAGGGCCGAAAAGTTCAGGGGATGCGGTTCATGCTTCTTGCGGTCGTGCCTGTGGTGGGTGTGTCAGTACAGTCAGGGGCCGGGAGGGAGGGGACGAGGGAGCCTACCTCTTGATCTTGTCAACTGCCTTATCGAGCGCCTTTTGGCGCTTCTTGGTCTTTTTGTTGATTGTTCCCTGGTGCTTGACCTTCTTGATGTTGACGTCCTCGTCGCTCGACTCATCGTCCAGGTCTTCCCGCTCCTTGTCTCCGCCCAAGAAGAATCGCACGCCACCCACGACCACCTTTTCGTTGTCGCTGAGACATGCCTCCTTCATGACGTCGCATGGCTTGGCGTCGGTCCAGATCTGGCGGCGCCAAAGCTCGCGCGTAATGCGCGTGGCCCACATGCCCTTGGTCGAGGTGCGATCCGACGTGACGAGGTTGTGCAGCACGGTCTGGATGGTCCTGTTGAGGCGGTGGTTGGTGGACTTTGAGTTCGACTCCCGCAAGTCGCTGATGATCTTGGTGTACAGCAGCGACCGCAGCGACTTGCTCGGCGTGGTGATGAGGATCGGGAAGAGGGTAGTCAGCAGGCTGGTCGAGTCGATCACGTCCTTCCTCCGCACCAGCACCAGGCTGCCCACCACCTTCTCGCGCAGTTCCTTGTCGAGCGTCGCATGGTGCTGGTTCAGGAGCTCCTTGAGGTGGTCGGGGTACGGGGCGGTCAGGTCCGGGTAGAGGTCGGCCACGTGGGCTACGAGATCGACGAGGTCGTGGAACTTCTTGATGTCCTCGCTCGAGACAGTCGAGGGCGAAGAGATAAAGATCTGGCGTTGCGCATCGTATGCGAGCCACTGGTCGTAGAATTCCTGGGCGTACGATCTGGACGGAGCTTTCTGTCAGCCATTGACGCGAAACTGCAGTCCGAATGCGGGGGCGACAAACCTGGGATCTCTCCGGATCTTGTACTGCAGATTGACCAGATCGGCCTCGACCTTTTCGAGCGCGGCAACCTTTCGTTTGACCATCTTTTCGAGTGCTGGCGGCAGTTGTCGTTTCTCAACTTGTTGTCCATCGAGATTTTTCCTTTTCTTCCTTTTTCCCGCCCTGCAGGTGCTCGTTATCGTTATCGGCTACTTTTTAGTGGGGTACTTTCATCCCACCCCACGACCCACGCATTCACGTCCTGCCAGAAAGTTCAAGTTGCTCCATCTTATGATCTTATTCTTTGTCCATAAAAGAAAGATACGACTAAATAAGGTATTTAGGCAACATCCCGTTACAGACTTCATGAGAAGAAAAGACCGCCGTTCGAAGCATCCCGAGTTTATTCGCCGGCCATCCTTCTCCCCATGTTCGGCCACGCCATTTCATGATTTCATCCGGAGAAACCGGGGGTTTTCGACAGCCCGTGGATTTGAATTAGATGTAGCCAGCGTCACGGCCTCCATGAAACAGGCTGCGCTCGGCTGCACATGGGCGGCTTTCTCGTCCTTCCGCTGTCTCCTCGATTCCCCTTCGAGGGGGAGGAGTGGATCCGCGCTTGAGTCGAGCCCTGGTCGTACATGTTGGCTCAAACCTGAGAGCTGTCGAGATTGCTAAAATTACAGGCAGGAAGTCAGACCTGTCCGCTGGTGTTATATTCGTGGCTGGGCCGACAAGCATTGCGACAGTTGCCTCGGAAGCTCAGCGTCCACACCTCTATCACGAGCGGGTTCGTACCGTTCTCCGGATTCAACTGATGTTGGTGTTCAATGCTATTCAGAGAACGGCCTAGAATCGTTTAGTCTCACCCGGAGCCACCTGCATAACACCTGTACGTCCCAGGCATGTACTCCAGTCTCTGCCGCAGCTGTCCAGGTGATCAGCACTAACTACATGTGCATACATACCTGCACGGTGGTTAAGTCGGGGCTGCGCGACGCAGGATTAGGTTTGCCATACTAGGCATATAATGGTAAATGGGACGACCTAGTTGGTGTCCAAAAGGAGTGTGGCGATTTGAGCCCCGAGCAACAGACAACTACCCTATTCAGGCTGTCAGGCGATTCAACATATTCTAGGGGCGACCACAGCCCGCTCACCTTTGATAT